TTTTCTTTAGGTCTATTCTGCTCAGAATGTCTTGAGCTTCTTGCATCTCTGATTTGCATTTTTCACCAAATTTAGGAAATTTATGGTGATTATTTTTTCAAGTGTCTTTTTCCCTTTTCCTTCTGGGACTCCAATTTCAAGTATATTAGACTGCATGATATTGTTGTACAATTAGCTGGGACTTTATTCATTTTGGGGAGGATCTTTTTTCTATTTGTGCTTCATTTTGGATAGTTTCCGTTGCAATGTGTTCAAGTTCACTGATCTTTTCTTCTGCCATTTTTGTTCTGTTGTTTATCCTATCCAATGTAATTTTAATTTCACATTTTATAATGCATCTTTTAGAACAATCTTCATTTTATAGTGGGTCTTTTAAAAAATATCTTTATTTCTTTCTTGAACATGTTCATGTTTCCTACTATATTCTCGAACATGTTTATGATAATTGTTTTAATGTTCCTTTCTGATCATCCTACCATCTCTCTAATTCTATTTATTTCTTTTTCTCCAGGTTTCTATTGACTGCTTTTTCTCTGGGTCATGGGTCATATTTTCCTGCTTCTCTATAACATTTTTTGATCAGATGCTAGACAATATGAATTTTAAGTTTTGGGGTGCTGGGCTTTGTTTTATTCCTTTAATAAGTGTTGGATTTTTTTTTGACATGTAGTTAAACTATTTGGGGTCAGTTTCATTTTTTCATGGTTTGCTTTTGAGCTTTTTTAGGGGTTCCAGAACAGTCTTTAATCTAAGGCTAAGTTATTCTTACTGGAAACTCTACTAATACCTCATCTATTACATGGTCTTTCCCCTTGGGCAAGTGGGGACAATTCTTAGCTCTGTGTGAACTATGGGAATTGTTTGGTGTACTGCTTTCCAGTGTTTTTTCCTCAGCCTTGAGGAATTTCACTTCATGCATATGCTGATCAATAGTCAGCCAAAGATTAGTGGACACCCTCTGCAGATCTTCAAAGTTTTCCTTCTGTTTAGTTCCCTCCTATCTGGTAATCTTCCCCACAAATCCTAGTTGTATCAGCTTACCCAGATGCCTGTCTCTGTCTCCTGAGCTCACTGTGACTGCTGGGCTCTGTTTGGATTCCCATGTCTATTTTATTTTTTATTTTTTTACAATTTCTAAAATTATTTTTGAAATTTTATTTATTGAAACATAATCGATTACATACAGCATTAATTATCCATACCTGTGTGCCATATGTGATGCTCAAATCAGGATAATTAGTATATTCAACATTGTACAGTGTAATCTTTTTTTGTGGTCCTTTATCAATTTCTCCCTAACTCCCCCATCTTTCCCACCTATGGTGGCCTCGGTTCTATTCTCTCCTTTTGAAAGTTCAGCAAGTTATTGTGATTGTTATTCCCATGTCTGTTTTAAAGCCTGGAAAATGTTTCCAGGTGATAAACTGGGGCAATCGGAGGGCTCAATTAGTTTGTTTTCTTCCTTCTTTCAGAAATCACAGTTCTATATTCTCTGTTATTCAATGTCTGAAAACTTTTGTTTCATTATTTTAATCCAGTTTTCTGGGATTTACTATTAGAAGGCAGTTTCCTTAGCAGTTAATATTTCATGGGTGGAAGTGAATGTCCTTGTCAAATTGTTTTATGATTTTTGTTAATGTTCTTTAAGAGTAACTATGTTTTTAAAATTTCTTGTACTTTTGCTAAAAGTATCTATAAATTTTAACAAAATTATAGTATATTCCACAGTACAGTATAATGTATTCTTTTAAAACATAGTATATTTCTTAATAGAGACTCTTCTAGTTATATTTATAATTGAAGGCAAGAAATGCTATGCATTATATAAAATGTTAGATAATTCTAAATTTCCAGTGGTCTTTGTAATGTATTATGTGATTTCAGAACACAGCAGAGTTATTTTACAATTATGTAAATACATGTCAGTGAAGTCCTTTCCTTCAGAATCTCAGCCATAATAAGCAAAGTAGAGGGCCCATTGCCCTTAAGCATGCTTGACAATGTCAAAATTATGTCTCAATTAAGCTAGTATTTAAATTATTTTGTATTTGCTGAGCATATACGATGTGCTTGGTAAGGAAAAGAGAGGGATGGTTCTGAAATGTGCTCCGTGGTAGGGAGAAGCCAATGTATTTATTTATTTATTTATTAAATTGAAACATAATTGATTATACGTATTTGTGGGGTACAGAGTTGAAATATCAATACCTGTGTGCAATGTGTGATGATCAAATCAGGATAATTAACATATTCATCATTGCAAAATGTAATCATGGGAAAAGCCAATTTAGAATTAAAATACATTGTTGTCATAATCAAGTTTTTTTTTTTTTTTTGTGACCGGTAAGGGGATTGCAACCCTTGGCGTGGTGTCGTTTGCACCGCACTCAGCCAGTGAGCTCACCGGCCATCCCAATATAGGATCCGAACCTGCAGCGGAAGCGCCGCTGCACTCCCAGCACCGCACTCTCCCGAGTAAGCCACGGGGTCGGCCCAAGTTGTTTTATATTATACTTTTCACCCACCAAGAATTCAATAGCTGTCAGTTTTCTTCAAAAACCCTCCTCTAGAAAACACTTGTGAATTAGACTTAATAAACCTTTCAATATGGTTGCCAGGTTGTTGTCTTTTTCTTAATCAGAACTCATATTTCCAACTTGTTCCTATCTTGTTAAAACGGAGTTACTAGTAATTCTTCCTTAACCAGTAGTTTTTAGAAATTACCTGGGCTATCATGTTCCTGAAAATGTTTGCTAGATTATCACATTGACAGTGACAGACACAGGTGGACAATAATAAACACAGTCACCTACTTAGTGTGTGAGACCATATAGGTAAGATTTTCAAATTGTTTTACAAAATATTAATGGCCTACAAGAAGTTGAGGTTTGCTAAAAGAGTTCCATTGTTAAATAAGTTTGAGAAACATTGCTTTCTGTATCTCTCTCTTGAATATTTATTATGCATATAAAATTTCTGAAAAGTCTTACAGTAAAGAAAAATTGTTTGATTTTTAACTCAGCATTTTCTGCAATTATTTAACTACCAGTCCTAACCACTTTCTGCCCATGAACACTTCTTGGCATCCCTTGAGACAGTAGTGTTCCTCTAAGCACAATTTTGGAAATGTTGCCTAGATGATGGTGATATATGTCATTTAGTTACATTATAGCTGTATCTGGGCATATAGAGTTATGAGAAATGTTAAAAGATAGTTGGGGGTATGGAAATATTTTGGCAAGTGTAGACTCTATTTGAACCAAATTAATGATTTTGAGGCACAAATTTCTATAGTAGACTTTCTCTCTTCAAAATAAGAGTGTTTCAAAGTATTATAAAACCAAAATTCCTAAGGCATCTTGGGCAAAAACTAAACTAACTCTTACAAAATAAACTTTTGATGCGAGGAGTATAAATGAATCAGAAACTTATGAAATAAATTGCTTTTGAAATATGACTGTGCGTAAAATTTGAGAAATGGTTTAAAATGAGCTTTGACCAAATATGTTTTGGGTTTTGCTTAATTCAGATATTCAAAGTTTAGGATGTGAATGATTCTCATGAAGAAGCCATGCATCCCTAACTTAAGATTCCAGAAAAGAATTAGAAAATGAACATTTGTGTTTAGAAGATGTTCAAGACATCTTGATATGCTACAAAGCAATTTCTTTGAGGTCACTGAAGTCTACTCACAGCTCTTCTTAGTAATCTATGAGAGCTATCAACTGAAATCCCAAGAAGGAACACAAATCTCTCAGAAATGTAGACATGATATTTTGTCTTTTATTCCTTTTTGGTAGTGAACAGAGATAAAGTAAAGGGTCGTTAAAAAGTTATTGTTTCCATTAGGTACCTCCCACTTCAACTATTTGATATTTGGTATTAGTACACAACTCTAATAGTTATTTCCTTGTTTATGCAAAACAACGATAAGTGATGTAAGCAGGCTTCTGGAAATAGAAGTTCTTAACCTGTGTTTACTGTGTTGGATTTGAAGAAGTAGAGCAGAAAATGTAATTATGTTAAAACACTTGCACTTGCCTTTTGTAAAGTATGAGGTTTACGATAGAATTTTTTAACAAAGTAGTAAGATTTACAGTAAATTGTCTATAGATGATTAGTTTCTATAACCACAGTACCTTACTGTTATCTCTTAAGTATTCAAAGGTGAAGAAATATTAGTTTAAGTAAAACTGTTAGAAGGTGAACATCAGGAGCATATAGTCAATGAATGCTCTAGTATTGGTATTTTACAAGATTAAAACACATTTTCTTACTGAATGAGAGTTTCTGGTATGGTCTACTTCATGATGCCTCCAAGAAGAGGTTTTAATCTAGCATATAACCCATTATTATCAAGAAGCCCTGAATAAATTTTGCCCTCTGTCATGTATATACTTGTTTGCATATTTGTATTTATAGCTTCAGGAAGTACTAAGTCTAACACTGAATCCTAGTTTTTTAGTGTGTAGTATTGCTCCCTTAGACTTTTTGTCTAAACAATTTGAAAAACCCCAATTTTTTTACCCATCTAGGCAGCATCAATAAAATAGTCATTATAGAATATTACTGTGTATGTGAAAGTCCTAAATTTTTTACTTGATAGAAAATTTGAATCTCAGCTGCATACCTGTTGTGACTGTAATTTTGTGTGTCAACTTGACTTGGCCACTGGGTGCCCAGGCATTTGATCAAACTTTATTCTGGGTATATCTGTGAAGGTATTTCTGGATGAGATTAACATTTGAAATAGTAGTCTGAATAAATAAGATTTCCCAACTTAATGTGGGGAGGGAGGGAAGGTTTTATTCAATAAATTGAAGACCTGAATAGAATAAAAAGGCTGAATATGAGGGAATTCCTCTTGCCTGACTGCTTAAGCTGGGACTTTGGTCTTTTCCTCCTTTGACTCAAGCTAAAATGTCAGTTATTCTTGGGTCTCAAGCCTGCCAGCTTTTGAAACTAGAACTTACACCATTGAGTGTCCTGTTTCTCAGGCCCCCGGACTCGGACTGGAACTATACCATTGGCTCCCCTGGGTCATCTCCAGCTGGACTGCAGATCTTGAGAACTATTGTCCTTCATAATCACGTGAGCCAATTCTTTATAATAAATTATATGTGTATGGTAACTTCTCGACAAATATGTATGAGCCAATTCTTTATAATAAATCTTTCCATGATTTTTTTTTTTTTTTTTTTTTTGACCGATAAGGGCTCCAGCTGGACTGCAGATCTTGAGAACTATTGTCCTTCATAATCACGTGAGCCAATTCTTTATAATAAATTATATGTGTATGGTAACTTCTCGACAAATATGTATGAGCCAATTCTTTATAATAAATCTTTCCATGATTTTTTTTTTTTTTTTTTTCTGACCGATAAGGGGATTGCAGCCCTCGGCACAGTGTCGTCCACACCACGCTCAGCCAGTGAGCGCACCGGCCGTGCGTATATAGGATCCGAACCCGCGGCCTCGGCGCTCCCAGTGCCACACTCTCCCGAGTGAGCCACGGGGCCAGCCCTCCAGGAATTTTTTAAAGTACCTTCATATGTATTTATTGTCCTCTTGTATCTGTTTTTCTGGAGAACCCCAACTAATACACCCAACTTCTTTCCTTCTTGTCTTTTTCATTAAGGCCAGAATAGGGCTACGTAAATATTGTACTTAAGGTAACAGATTGTGTCAAAGTTGGATTTTGCATATTATTATGCATAATCATTCTTATCAGACTTCTTTAGTCACATCCAGTCACTGTTGAGGCTAGACAAGGAGAAAGAACCATGAGACCAGCCATTGTCTTTGTGTGGACTTCATGACAATATTTTGAGTATCCTAAAGATCATCAAAATGTCTCTCAATATCTTTCACACTATCAAAACAATTTTGGCCTGTCTAATCAGGTGATTTTGGACCCCATGAACAAAAAGGCAAGAAAGCTTATTGGGTTTATTAACAGTCTAAAATGAGATCATATTATTTTAGAGTTTGTGTTGTAAGTAGGGCTCAGCAGACTTTTTCTACAAAAGGCTGGACAGTGAATATTTTAGGTTTAGTGGATCATATGGTTTCTTTTATAACTCTGTCATTACTCCCTCTGCTATTCAACCTGTCATTGTAGCACAGAAGTAGTCATAGACAACACTAATTTATTAGATGTGTTCCAATAAAACTTTATTTCAAAAACAGGCAGTGGGCAGATTTGGCTTGTAGGCTGTAGTTTGCTAACCCATTATAAATCTTGTGAAAATTATGGCTACCATTTGTCAAGCATCTATAGCATATTGTGTAATGTTACAGGCACATTGTATTGGTATTTAATTATTCCTTAAAACAAAGAGGAAGTCGAGGCTCTTGAGGTTTTAAACTGTTACTCCGAGGTCTCATGGCAAGTTTCAGTTGTTACTGAAATGCAGATTTATGTCCAAAGGTGATGATATGCTTATTCTTACTTTGAAGGAAAGTGCTCTGCATGTTTAAGAACTTTGCTTTTTATACGCTTAAAGAACAAAGTCATAAAATGTAAAGTTGATTTCTTACTGAAATCATTTCATAACTGATGGTTCAGATAGTGGCCAAAGAAAACTCTGACAATTTAAATTGAGGATAACGAACTAGTGACCTCTAGGGCACGAGAATCTCCCTCATCTATTCATGCTGCTGGGATTACAGGCGTCCTTGAACCCTGCCATTATGGACCAGTTGCCTTCAAGTTCTCTTTTCTTTGACTTTTTTTTTTTTTCCTTTTTGTCTTTTTTTACTGACCGGTAACGGAATCGCAACCCTTGGTGTCGCGCCCATACTGGGGACCGGCAACAGGATCGCAACCCTCGGTGTTGCGCCCGCACCGCGCTCAGCCAGTGAGTGGGAACCGGTCTCCACATGGGATCCAAACCCTCGCTCAGCCAGTGAGCGGGAACCGGTCTCCACATGGGATCCGAACCCTCGGCGGGAGCGCCGCCGCACTCCCAAGCGGCGCAGTCTCCAGTGCGCCACCGGGCCGGCCCACTTTGACTTTTTTGAGGGGCTGTGTTGGCCACTCTGGGTAAGGTCTTAGAAGAAAGTATAGCAGCATTCTAAGCATCTCTTTCCAAAATTCAGAACCAGAGGCCAGAAATATCTCAGGTCTTTGGTGAAGACCAAATATGAGAATCTTTGACCCTAAAAAGTTGATGAAGAAGTTGTTCAGTTCAGGCTATCATCCTCATCTTAGTGCTCCTGGCTTGGAAATAAACCTGATTTATGTAGAGATTACCTTCAACTCTGCTTTACATGAACAAGTTTTGAAAAAAAATGCGTTTTTCTCTTTCCTCATGCAGGCTTCTGGTAGCCCTAAAACTACAAACCTGGGAGTACAGGGGCTGTTGAAATGAGGGAAAACATCATGTCAATGTGTGTATTAGTCAGTGTTCTCCAGGGAAACAGGACCAATAGGATATATATATATATATATA